CACTGCACTCCAGCCTGGGCCACAGAGCAAAGACTCAAACAAAAAAAAAAAAAAAAAAAAAAAAAAAAAAAATAGAAAATGGGCCTAATGTAATTCATCAACATTAACAGACTATAAGAGAAAAATCACTTGATTATCTTGATAACAGGAAAAACATTTGACAAACAACAAGGTTCATAAGAAACACACACACACAGCCAGGTGTGGTGTTGTATACCTGTAATCCCACCTACTTGGGAAGCCAAGGCAATAGAACTGCTTGAGCCCAAGTGTTCAAGGCTGCAGGGAGTTAGGATCGCACCACTGCACTCCAGCCTGGGAAACAGCGCGAGATTCTGTCTCTACATTTTTTTAAAAAAAAAAGAAAGAAACCGTCAAGGTGTGGTGGTTCACGCCTGTAATCCTACCACTTTGGGAGGTCGAGGCGGGCAGATCACCTGAGCTCAGAAGTTCAAGACCAGCCTGAGTAACCTAACGAAATCCTATCTCTACTAAAAACACAAAAAATTATCTGGATGTGGTGGCACACACCTGTAATCCCAGCTACTGGGGAGGCTGAGGCACGAGAATCGCTTGAACCTGGGAGGCGGACGTTGCAGTGAGCCAAGACTGCATCACTGCACTCTAGCCTGGGTGACAGAGTGAGACTTCATCTCAAAAAAAAGAAACACACATACACATATACACAAACACCACTCTTAGCAAAGCAGGAATAGGAGGAAATTTCCTTAATCTGTTAGAAGTTATCTACAAAACAAACAGCTAACGTGACACCTAAGACTGAAATATTGAAAGCGTTTTCTGAAAAGGGAAAAAAAAGACAAGGATGCCTTCTATCATCACTACTTTTCAACATTCTACTGGAGGTCCTAGAAAACGTAATTAAGAGGAAAAGTTATAAAGGATTAGGAAAGAAAAAACAAAATGGCCACTATTCATAGTATACATAATTATATGTGAATAAAATCTAAAGGAATCTACAAACTGGCTGGGCAAGGTGGCTCACACCTATAATCCTAGCACTCTGGGAGGCCAAGGCAGGCAGATTTGAAGTCAGGAGTTAATGAGTTTCATTTATACATTCAAAAACAGGCAAATTAATCTGATTTAAAACTCATCTTTGATTCATGATTGGTAGATAGTGGTTACTTTTAAAAAGGAAGGAAGGCCAGCCTGGGCAACATAGTGAGACCTTGAGGTCAACAAATGAGGCGAGAGGATCACTTGAGTCTGAGAGGTTGAGGCTGCAATGAGCCGCGATCACACCACTGTTCTCCTACCCAGGTGACAAAGAAAGATTCTGCCTCAAAAAAAAAAAAAAAAAGGAAGGAGGGAATAGTAATTGCTAGGGAGTTCTAGGGGAATTTCTAGAGTACTGTAATATTCTATATGTTGACCAAGCGATTATTAAGTGGATGTATTCACTTTCTGATAATTCAATTCATTCTGGTTTGTGCACTTCAATGTACATATGCTATATCTCAATGTTTCAAAAAGGGTTATTTCAAGTTTTTCTAACCGTATTCCATTACGAAAAACATTTTTAAATTCTCCATAGCCTAAATGCAAAATCGAAGCTCTTAAGCCTGGCAAAGCATAAAATAGTTCCTACCTTTAACTTAATCCTCATCTCTGTCCATCTCCATATATGCTCTGTATTTCAGTTTATCAAGTTATTCATAGGCCCAGAACATAATATACTGCTTCAGCCTTCATGCCTTTAGAAAATACTTCCATCAGTTGAAATCCTCTTCTTCTTTACACTCTACTAGGTCACCATGCTGTCTCTGAAATTTCTGCCCAACTTGGATATTAACTCCTCCAAAATGTTTCCCTATCCCTCCATTCCAAAATTAATCATCCTCTTTTCGGTATATTACTGCATGCATCAAGTGATAGCACAACTGTCTATATGTCAGTCCATACTCTATTGTACTGCAAACAATTCAGGTACAGGATGGGGCACGGTGGCACATGCCTGTAATTCCAGCACTTTGGGAGGTCCAGGCGGATGGATCACCTGAGGTCAGGAGTTCAAAACCAGCCTGACCAACATGGTGAAACCCTGTCTCTACTGAAAAATACAAAAAATTAGCCAGGCATGGTGGCGGGCACCTATAATCCCAGCTACTCAGGAGGCTGTGGCAGGAGAATCGCTTGAACACAAGAGGTGGAGGTTGCAGTGAGCCGAGATCACCCCATTGCACTCCAGCCTGGGCGACAGAGCAAGACTCCATCTCAAAAAAAAAATAAAATAAAATTCAAGTACAAATTTTCTTGTTGCAAACGCTTAACATGACACTTGGCATGTGGTACTCAACAAATTTAACTCTTATGTTTATTTCTGTACTAATTAAGACTGTAAAACTATCTAGGATGAAGCCTAAGTCTTATAATTCCTCCATTGCACCCAGTATAGGAAGAGCACAGTTCAGGCATATAACAGTGGAATGGGTACCAAAACCCAACTCCATGGACAAAAATGCTCTTTTCCAACCATATGCTCACCCAAGATAAGATATGTAGGTCCTACTGGAATTTCAAGAGGTCAACTTTTTTTTATATAAACAGATGTGCAGAGTTTTGAGCTACAAGAAACCAAAAGCAACACCTTAGTGTCACACCTTAGTCACAATCACCTTAGTCACACTCCTTAGAAAAGAACTGAAGCCTAGAAAAATTCAGTAGCTTGCTCAAGGTTCAGGCTACAGCCAGAAGGATCAGGACTAGGACTTAGATCCCCCAGGTTCTCATTTAGTGCTCTCTCACAATCCATGTAGCCTCCCTTTTGTACTATGTGACTTCTCAAAGTAAATAGCTTTACTATTTCATATTTAGATAGTTAATACCCTCAATTGCTGGGCTTTTAAAATTTTTTATTTTAAAATTTGTCTCTAACAAACAAATACTAAAAGTACCAACAAGTTCAACCAGGAAAACACCATTTCCAGTTCCAATATCAAGCACTGAAGCATCCAATGGAATCTTGCGTTTCTGCATCCACCTTATTAGTCGATTCATACTCTCTTCTCCAAACCTGTTAGAAACAGAGCATCAGTCAAATAATTGAGGGATACAGAGCAAAGGTCACCACTATATTCCATTTAAGCTATTTATCCCACATGCTCAAAGTCTTATTTGAAAGTGAGAATATCTGTGACTGCTTAAGCTTTGTCTCTACTGTAATTTAGGAGAAACCACCTCCAGGAATAGACAAGGTCAGTATGTTACTGATTAACGTTTTTCTGTATCAGCATTAATACTTGTAAATGTTGGTGGTTCAAAATTTTATTGCTTATTGAAAAAGGACAACTATAGCATGAAATATTGTCATCAAATATAAATGTGAGATAGGGCCGGGCGCGGTGGCTCAAGCCTGTAATCCCAGCACTTTGGGAGGCCGAGGAGGGTGGATCACGAGGTCAAGAGATCGAGACCATCCTGGTCAACATGGTGAAACCCCGTCTCTACTAAAACTACAAAAAAATTAGCTGGGCATGGTGGCACGTGTCTGTAATCCCAGCTACTCAGGAGGTTGAGGCAGGAGAATTGCCTGAACTCAGGAGGCGGAGGTTGCGGTGAGCCGAGATCGTGCCATTGCACTCCAGCCTGGGTAACAAGAGCGAAACTCCGTCTCAAAATAAATAAATAAATAAATAAATAAATAAATAAATAAATAAATAAATAAATAAATGTGAGATATTAAAAGAGGGCTCACACCCACTCTCCCAACACTTTGGAAGGCCAAGGTGGGAGGATCGCTTGAGGCCAGGAGTTCAAAGACCAGCCTGGGCAACACAGTGAGACCCTGTCTCTACAAAAAATTTTTTAAAATTTGCTGGGCATGGTGGCATGCAGCTATAGTCCCAGCTACCCAAGAGGGCTATAGCGAGAGGATCACTTGGGCCTAGGAGATCCAGGTTGTAGTGAGCTATGATGATCATGCCACTGTTCTCCAGCCTGGATGACAGAAAGATACCCTCTCTAAAAACAGCAAAAAAAATAAAAAATTTAAATAAAAGAAAGAAGAGACAGACTTTAAATCTACCCACTAAAGCAAGACTTAATCCAGGGTTCCCAGGATTTTTAGGCTGTCTTTCTTTGGGTATAAGCACTTGAATATACACTTTTTTTTAATAGCATTTTAGGTTTTGGGGTACATGTGAAGAACATGCAAGATTGTTGCATAGGTACACACATGGCAGTGTGGTTTGCTGCCTTCCTCCCCATCACCTATATCTGGCATTTCTCCCCATGGTATCCCTCCCCAATTCCCCACTCCCCACTGTCCCTCCCCTAGTGAATATACATTTTTTTTTTTTTTTAAGACGGGGTTTCACCGTGTTGGTCAGGCTGGTCTTTAACTCCCGACCTCAGGTGATCCACCTGCCTTGGCCTCCAAAGTGCTTGGATTACACGCGTGAGCCACCACGCCCAGCTACACATATTTTTTTAAACACACACATATACATACAATCTTCTAGATTATAACTTGATCCTTTTCCTAACTCACCAGATTTCACCTGTATCTCCATATTCTTGGAAAGTTCGCAGTTCTCTCTCATAGACAGCATCCCAACTATGTAAATAATGAAATGCAAAGTGAGACTCTTGAATTAAACTGTATTATGAATTAAATGTATGTATCTAATACATTACAGAACTATTTATGACAGGGGTTTAAAGCATCACTAGTGTTACTAATAAGTACACATAGTTAAATCTTTTAACATCCTTGAGGTAAAAGAATTTAATACGTGGGCAAGCAAAATACGTTTATACTGTACATCTAAAGCATTTAGGACAATATCTGATGCACAACAATAAGTTTTAGCCTAAAAAAAATACAGAGACATTTGTCCATGTATCCCTAAGTCCCTGACCCAAGTCCAAAATTTGATGAAACAAGTACATCTGGTCTCAAGCGTGCAGGCACACAGTCTCTTTCCTGTGCTATCTGCCTCTGCCTATTCCAGTCTTCTAGCCCTCTGTTTAAATTTTCTCTGAATCCTTTCCTTTTCTCTTCTCTTCTTTTTCTTTTCTTTCTTTTTTGAGACAGAGTCTCGCTCTGTCACCAGGCCGGAGTGTGCAGCGCCACAGTATCGGCTCACTGCAACCTCCACCAGCTGAGTTCAAGCGATTCTCTTGCCTTAGCCTCCTGAGTAGCTGGGGTTCCAGGCGTGCGCCACCACACCTGGCTAATTTTTGTATTTTTAGTAGAGACGGAGTTTCACCTTGTTGGTCAGAATGGTCTCAATCTCCTCACCTCGTGATCCCCCTGCCTCGGCCTCCCAAAGTGCTGGGATTACAGGCGTGAGCCACCGTGCCTGGCCCTCTGATTCCTTTTAATTTGCCTTCTCTTTTCCTACAATGATTCTCTAGAATCCCTGCTCCTTCTCATCGCTACAACTTACCTCTCCCTAACTGTTCTCTGCAGTCATTCATCCACTCATCCATCCATTAATTCATTTAATAATCCTGAGCGTCTGTTTTAGGTCAGATCGCTTTCTCTCACCCCAAGATGCCCCATTATCTCCTCGCTCCCCATTTGGATCATCCGTTATTCCCACCCCTTCCAGCTCCCTCCTGCCCTGAGCCTTTTCGACTCCCAGGCCCGGCACTTCTCCCTCGGTCTCCCACTCTCGCCGACTAGCCCTATTCGCCAGCCTCGCCCTCTCCCCGTTTCCCCCAAGCCTGGCCCTCGGGTTCGAGACTCCCAAAAGGCCTCCGCGAGAGCTTCAAAGCCTGTCCCCCACCCACAAGCCCGTTGGGCTCCAATCCCTTGAAATGTCGGTTAACCGCGCATGGTGACCCCAAGGTATTCCACCCTTTCAAATCCCCGAGCCTCCCGCAAGGCGGCCCTGCTCGCGTCACGCCCCCGAGGGTCTCCTGGTCCCCGTGCCCCGGGTATCCACCCCGCCGTCCCCTTCTCGGGGCCCAGGCAGGGCAGCACGGCTCACCCTGCCCTGCCCTGCGTCACACTCACTGCTCGCGCGTCCCCAGCGCCGACGGAACGAAACCGTCCTCCCCGGGACTGCCCTCGCCCGACCGCGCCGCCACCGCAGGGCCACCGCTGCCGTCAGCGCCCGCGCTCATCCCGCTCCACGTCCTGGACGGCCGTTGGGGCCGCCATAGAGACGAGGCACAGGCAGAGCGCACGAACGGGCCGGCGCCTCTAGGCGGCAGGAGGCCGCCTTCTCGACTGCTCCAGGGCCCGCTCCGGGGCTGGGCCGGTGACGCTACTCCCTCCGCACTGTCGCCGGCTCCTGGCGCTGCCGCTGACCTTGCGCTTTCCCCCCAGGGTTGGTGACACCCCCTTCGTCAAGGTCCAAGGGCGACTATATTTGGGGACTGCCAGGGACCATTAGAGTTACTGCCCTACCGTGGACACTTAAAGCCGACGCCACTCTACCCAAACGCAGAAAGCCCCTCACCTCTCCACCGTGTGCGCCAGTCTGCGAAGCAGGTGGGAGTGTCCATCCAGTTATTTGGCTCCTCCGGAAGAGGCCAACTTCGTTTCTGGCTGGAGTCTTGACTTGAAAACTGCATTCCGAGCCGGGCGTGGTGGCTCACTCTTGTAATCCCAGCACTTTGGGCGTCCGAGGCAGGCGGATCATCTGAGGTCAGGAGTTCGAGACCAGCCTGGCCAACATGGAGAAACCCTGTCTCTACTAAAAATACAAAATTAGCCGGGTGTGGTGGTGCATGCCTGTAATCCCAGCTACTTGAGAGGCTGAAGCAGGAGAATCGCTTGAACCCTTGAGGGGGTGGTTGCAGTGAGCCGAGATTGCGCCCTTGCACTCCAGCCTCGGCAGCAAGAGCGAAAGTCCGTCTTGGAAAAAAAAAAGAAAAGAAAACTGCACTCTGGCCTCTTGTGACTTGATGTCACCAGTAGACGTGGGAATTTATGTCCATGGAAAGGAATGCCCTGCGACTCCCCATAATACGCCGAACACGGGGATCAGTGTGATGTAAAAGAAAGACTGCTAAGCGAGAAGACGCCTGGAAAAGCCTCAGTTCTGCCTCGACCCAGGCACCTGGCCTTGTCTAAGTCTTAAGCTCTGCGCGTTTCCTCCCTGTAGCATGCCAGAGCTAGACGGTGACTATTTCAAAGACTACTCCCCAAATCGCGAACCGGAGATTGCATCTGCCTCTCGGTCTGCCATTGGTAGATCTGCAGAATTATACAAGAGATTTATGGGCTAAAAGTCTGGGGTATTTTCTGTAGTAGTTATGAAATACTGCTGGTCCAGGCCGGACGTGGTGGCTCACGCCTGTAATCCCAGCACTTTAGGAGGCTGAGGCAGGTAGATCAAGAGGTCAGGAGATCGAGACCATCCAGGCTAACACAGTGAAACCCTGTCTCTACTAAAAGTACCAAAAAAAAAGAAAAAATAGACGGGCGTGGTGGCTCGCGCCTGTAATCCCAGCTATCGAGAGGCTGAGGCAGGAGACTCGCTTGAACCCAGGAGGCGGGGGTTGCAGTCAGCCAAGATCACAGCCACTGCACTACAACCTAAGCAAGAGCAAGACTTTGTCTAAAATAAATAAATAAATAAATAAATAAATCCAAGAAAGAAAGTAAGTAACGTTATTACAGAGCAATAAAAGAAAAAAGAAAAGAAATGCTGTTGGGCTAATATACTAGGCAAGGCCCTCAAAGGCCCCTGGCAAGACTGCCTTCCAACAAAAAGGAATTGTTTACTAGGCACATTTCTGTTGTCGTGGCAGACAGAAGCCCAGTAACAAGTCCCTAAAGATAAACAGCATCAGAAATCCTCAGATGCGCATCTCCTATACATGGTGTTCTGAGATCTTCAGGCAGAGTGACAGGATAAGGTAAAAGACAGATGGGAAGCCATGTGCATAGTGGTTAAAGAAAAGATCTGGCGCCATGGCTCACACCTGTAATCCCAGCCCTTTGGGAGGACAAGGCAGGCAGATCACTTGAGGTCAGGAGTTCGAGACCAGCCTAGCCAACATGAAAATCCTATCTCCACTAAAAAGACAAAAATTAGCCATGCATGGTGGTGGTCACCTGTAATCCCAGCTACTCAGGAGGTTGAGGCATGAGAATTGCTTGAACCAGAGGGGCGAAGGTTGCAGTGAGCCAAGACTGCACCACTGCACTCCAGCCTGGGCACTGAGTGAGACTTTGTCTAAAATAAATAAATAAGTTCAAGAAAGACAGTAAGTAACCTTATTACAGAGCAATAAAACCACTGGATGCCACTGCCAATTAGTGCTGCCCTGGACGAGTGGTTGCTTTGATCTTTTCTAGGTTCCAAATGCTAGATAAAGCAAGCTTGAGTGGGGGTCAGTGAGCCTTTAAAGTTTTAGGTTCTAGGCCAGGTGTGGTGGCTCATGCCTGAATCTCAGCACTTTGGGAGGCCCAGGTGGGCAGATCAGTTGAGGTCAGGAATTCGAGACCAGCCTGGCCAACATGGTGAAACCCCATCTCTACTAAAAATACAAAAATAGTCGGGTTTGGTGGCTCGCACCTATAATCCCAGCTACTCCTGGAGGCTGAGGTATGAGAATCGCTTGAACCCGGGAGGCGGAGGTTGAAGAAAGCCAATACTGTGCTACTGAACTTTAGCCTGGGTGACAAGACCAAAATTCCATCTCAAAAAAAAAAAAAAAAAAAAAGAGTTTTAGGTTCTAATTAAGAAGCACTCATGAAAGATAAGCCTGCCTTCAACCTGGTGTCTTGCCAATACTTAAGATATTTTTGCTGTATGATAAAAGCTATAAACAGTTGTTGGTTTGGAGCCCCAGAAAACCCCACGGTTTATATAGAGTTCATTCTCTGGCTCCAGGCAGGATTATTGTGGCTGTTTAGTCCTGAAGGCTGTGGGTACCACCTCTGATCACCCAGGGCAACAGGATTTTTGGTTGAGGGTACAGAAGCTCATTCTGAGCAGAGCCGCCCATCACTAGGGAGAACCAAGTATGTGCCAAGAATCACAGTCCCTGGCCGGGCGCAGTGGCTCACGCCTGTAATCCCAGCACTTTGGGAGGCTAAGGCGGGCAGATCACGAGGTCAGGAGTTCAAGACCAGACTGGCCAACGTGGTGAAACCCCATCTCTACTAAAAAATACAAAAATTAACTGGGCATGGTGGCTCATGCTTGTAATCCTAGCTACTTAGGAGGCTGAGGTAGGAGAATTGCTTGAACCAGGACCCGGGAGGAGGAGGTTGCAGTGAGCCAAGATCATGCCACTTCACTCCAGCCTTGGCAACAGAGTAAGACTCCATCTCAAAAAAAAAAAAAAAAAAAAAAAAAAAAAAAAAAACACAGTCCCTTCACTGAGTGCCCATTACCTGAGACAGAGGGAGTCTGCAGTCAGGTGGCTGCCTGTCTCCTCCCTCTTCCCTTCCCTGCAGCCTGGCACCCCATTACTGCAACACCTCAGAAATTGTGCTTCAAAGAGTTCTCAAGACAATTCTCAGTTGGCAAACCAAGGGTCACATTCCAGGCTTTTACCCTCCTTCTTGACTTTCCACAGCAATCAACACCTCTGAGCACATCCCACTTGAAAACCCCTCCTTGCTTTCCCACCACCTCCGGCTTTTTTTGCTCTGTCATCCAGGCTGGAGTACAGTGGTGCAATCATAACTCACTGCAGCCTCAATTTCCCAGACTGGAGTGATCCTTCCAACTCAGGCTCCCAAATAGCTGGAATCACAGGCCTGTGCCACCGTGCTCAGCTAATTTTTTGTAGAGACAGGGTTTCACAACATTGCCCAAACTGGTCTCAAGCTCCTGAACTCAAGCAGTCCTCCTGCCTTGGCCTCCCAAAGTGCTGGGATTACAAGCATGAGCCACTATGCCCAGCCCACCTCCTGCTCTTTTTCTTTTTTCTTTTTTTTTTTTCAGAGATGGAGTTTCATTCACCCTTGTTGCCCAGGCTGGAGTGCAATGGCGCAATCTTGGCTCACGGCAACCTCTGCCTCCTCGGTTCAAGCAATTCTCCTGCCTCAGTCTCCTGAGTAGCTGGGATTACAGGCATGCTCCACCACACCCAGCTAATTTTCTATTTTTAGTAGAGCCAGGGTTTGTCCGTATTGGTCAGGCTGATCTCGAACTCCTGACCTCAGGTGAACCACCCACCTTGACCTCCCAAAGTGCTGGGATTACAGGCATGAGCCACTGCACCTGGCCTAGATCTCTTATCTTTTAAACTAATTCATGATAATAGAAATGATGGCTAGCAATCATACAACTGTCACTGTGTGCCAAGAACTGTGTTCAGTGCATCCAATGTATTATTTCAGTTACTCCTAAAGATAGCCACAGGAGGTAGATAAGAGTATTAGCCTCATTTTACAGATGAGCTAACTAGGGCACATAGAAGTTGCTCAAGGTTACAGTAAATTCTGGAGCTGAGATTGGCACCCAAGCAATCTACCATAAAGTTTTCAAGCATAATCACTACATGAGTATGCTGTATCACTATAGGTGTTTTGCTGAAGATTTTCTTTTGTTTGTTTGTTTGAGACAGGGTCTCACTCTGTCGCCCAGGCTGGAGTGCAATGGCATGATCTCAGCTCGCTGCAACCTCCGCCTCCTGAGTTCAAGCAATTATCCTACCTCAGCTCCAGTGTAGCTGGGATTATAGGCGCCTGCCACCACACTCAATTCATTTTTTTTTGTATTTTTAGTAGAGACGGGATTTCACCATGTTGGCAGGCTGGTCTTGAACTCCTGATCTCAAATGATCCGCCTGCCTCTGCCTCCCAAAGTGCTGGGATTACAGGCATGAGCCACTGTGCCCAGCCCAGTGGCATGATCAGTTAACTCACTGCAGCCTCGACCTCCTGGGCTCAAGCAATCTTTCCACCTCAGCCTCCCAAGTAGCTGGGGTTACAGGCACCCACCACCATGCCCAGCTAACTTTTTAAATGTTTTTTGTAGAGCTGGTGTTCTCACTATGTTGCCCAGGCTGATCTCAAACTCCTGGGCTCAAGCAATCCACCTGCCTCGACCTCCCAAATTGCTGGGCTTACAGGTGTGAGCCACCAAGCCTGGTCAGAGCCTAAAAATTCTTTGTCTTCCTCTCTCTGTGCCCAAAGTCCAGAATCTCACTGCAACCACTCATCTCGTCTTCTCATTCTCTTTCTCCTTTACCCCCTAAATTTGCCCAGTTCATCTGCGTCTCCTT